TGTAGCAGTGACACTATTACATTTCAGTAGTATTTTTATGCATACACAAAAAGTACTCGTGAAGAAGCACGGTAAATTATGATGGCGATATTTCGTATAAAATTTTCAACGATAATTGCACACGATTTTGCGATGGCAGAATAACTCGAAAAAGAAATGATCCCGCCAAGCTATGAGTCAAAATTATTTCAATGCATTTTTTTAATTATGTAATTATCCATACATTTTTAGGATAAACGATCCCATATTTATATATACTTATATACAATAAAAATTGAAAAATTAAATGCCTTGTACATATACGCAAAAAAATGACTTAATAATAGTAGTTAAATTTCAATAGCTGAATCATACTTAGCTATAAGAGTTATCACCTTAGTGTCATTGCTAAGTTCTGGCTATTATACAGATAAAAAACATTCACTGTGACAAAAAAATTTATTAACTGAAATTAAAAGCTGCATATATATTAGTACAGGCAGCTAAAAAGATGGCATGCGTACCTAAATGTCTCATCATACACACATTTAGCACAGAGAGCTAAGTTTATATAGCTACGCGTAAAAATTTGATTTGTAATTGTTTTTGCAATGTGACACTGCCATATGCACATCTATACAGCGCATTTAGCATTTATATTTGCAGTATATATAAGTTGTATACTGCAAATATTATCTATTGTGAAAATAAAATAGCATAGTAGATTCGGCTAAATATGATTTGATTTTAGTAGCAAATATTTTTGCTGTAGCATCTACATTTTAATAACTAATAAATTGAACTTCGGCAGCAACGACATTAGCTGTCCCTATTTCATCGACACATCTTAACTGCCTTTTAGCTCCTTCCGTTTTACTATGGAACAAGATACTCTCGAATGTCGATAATCAATCGCGTCAACAAGAAATTCATTTCGATCAACCTTTTACGTTCAAATTCTTGTAATTATTACATAATTACTAGATATTATATTCATGCAGTTATTATATATAATTTTGAACGTAATAATATAATATGCCTTTACATGTGAAATAATAGAGCAGACAACATATTGAATTGTATCAAAAAGCAAGGAAAATTATAATTAAAATGAATAAATTATAGTTAAAATAGAAATTCAATATTCATTATTTTGCGACGTCTCTGGTAATATAAAAATTCTCGAGAAATTTTTTATCCATGTCAGTAAATTTTATAATAATTAATAAATTTAAAAAATTCTATGATAGGTAAGATACTGCTGTAACAGTAATCAATCATGCACCAGATTCGCGCAGCGACAAAATCAAATGACCCGCAACACGACTTGCCGTCGATAGAAATGAATAGATTATATATAATATGTATCTCTCAATGCGAAATCTATTCTTATGATAAGTAATAAGTATATTATTAATTGTTACTTACCTATATCGTTGTACTCAGGTCACGATCGTCCTTCCTCGCATCTCGCTAGTCCTTCGACGAACCGCGTTCAATCTCCGTCGCCTCCGTCTCGATGACCTCGGACTTTGTGACTCTGACTGACGGATGTAGGCTCGGTGAGAATTCGGTACGTCTCGATTGGGCTTTGGCCGAACGCGCGCACTTACTATATGTATGCCATGCTGCCGATCGCGCACTTATTATTAATTAGACACTGCGTATTGTTACTGAACGCGCACTCACTATATGCGTGCTGCTCGAATGCTTGATCGCTAGAGTTCGATAATTTCGAATTAAACCTCGCGACCGCGCCACTCAGCCCGCGGCTCGCCTCGCCGCGGGAAATAATGCCGCGACGTTAATTCTCTTGTATTGAATTTTGATGCAATAATGAAATAATCACGCCGAGATTAAACATATCGTATATTATTGCGTGTTGTCCGGAAATAACGAGTGACGACAATACCGTAGAAATTCACACAGCACTTATATACGTATAATTTAATTTTGAACGAGAGAAAATTCGACGGGTTCCTTTCTTTCTCTGTTGCACGGCTAGGATAAACATAATTGCTTGCTTGTTAATTGTTACAATTTTCTGATACACATTACTCCAATGGATAATTTAATACTCGAAATTGATAAAACAATTCCGTAATTAATTGAACTGTAAAATAATTTGATCGCTTAGCCGATTTCTCTCACTCGGTGTGTGATAATCTAAATAAGTAACACCAGGGGTCGGTAAAGAGGTCTGTATATGTCCGTAAACAATGGAAAACATAACCTCACAGACACGCGAGTGTCATCGATGGTGTTTTACTGAAAGAATGTCGATATTTTAAATACGATATGAAATATGTATCGCGTGTGCATAAACTATGTAACATTTTCTAAAAAATTTTTTACAAGAGAACTAAAATAGAATTTCGGTAAGAAGAAGGGTAGAGAGAAGAGATAGAAAATTTATGGACGCTGATACCGGTCTTAAAAGAAAACATCTTCAGAAGAAGTGTAAAAGCGAAACAAAGAAACTGTAATTATTGCAAATATCGAATGTCAACGAAGATGCCAGTCTATCAAGAAGCCGAAGTAATTTTTGTTTTCTTATTAATACTTTAAATGTAGTGCATCTATTTTATTTTAAATTCAATGAGTGTACACTAATTAATTCAGCTGTAGAAAGCAGACCTGTTATTTTTTCTTTATGAGTTTACGAAAATTTTTGCTTACACATATTTCGACATAAAACAATCATATAAATTGGACACTAGAATATAAAAGAACCAATCTTAACCTTGGCTTAATTTCATTTGTTTATACATGACCTTTCAGTGTTAGCTCTAGTTTCATATTATTAGCGTTTTCATTTTACGTTCACTTTCTTTGGTTACTTAATTAAAATATTCACAAGAATCGATGTTTCAGCAAATTCAAGCGCAAACGATTATTGTTATTCATCCGGGCTCCATGTACCTTCGTATGGGCCGTGCTTCTGATCTGAAACCCGTTACATTACTACATGCCGTGGCAAGGAGACGTTTATCGAATGGAACAAAATATAAGGATAGTCTCTTACCTCCAACTGTGACACTGGTATGTACATTAGAATACGTTATGCAATGCGATCTTATTATCATGTTTCTGTCTGTCAATGGCTTTTTGCAGACGAAGGAGTTAACGCAGGCGATGGAGGAATCTCGCCTGCAGGTATCGCATACTCTTCAGTCCTGTTTGCAGTCCGATGGTAGCCGAAGGTATGCGACACCACCGCAACAGATAGCGGCTTTCAATCGTCGATCCAGTCCAGAAATCTCCTCCCCTGGCGACATGAAGTGGACAACGACCGATCGCGATATAGTCGTCGGTGACGATATCTTGTCGTTAGATCCGGCGGAGGAGAGCAATTTTAATATTCATTTTCCATACAGAAGAGGGGAGCTTAATATACACTCGGGTCCGGGTGGCAGCATGACGGCTGTCATGGCGGATTTAAAAACCATCTGGGAATACGTGCTGACTGAGAGGCTGGACATTCCTCTCAGAGACTTGAAGCACTATCGCGCGGTACTTGTTATACCTGATATTTATCATCGGCCGTATCTAAAGGAATTGACAACGCTATTGTTAGACGAGATTGGCTTTGGACGTTGTATTCTGTTGCAAGTTAGTTTATACCCTTATATATAATGCACTACATTGCAATATACTTCTCCGAGAAAACGAATTCTTGTTTTTGTCACGAAATATTTTATTATATAATAGCTAATAGTTTTCAAGGAGCAACTTGAAATCCAGATGGCCTCGTTTTTCAACTATCGTTTCGTTATTAATAGGACCATGTAGGCGCGATGTTTGGAGCGGGTTTGGGCTACGCATGTATAGTAGACGTTGGCGCTCAAAAGATATCGGTATCCTGTGTGGAGGACGCGATCTCTCATAAGGATACGCGAGTGCGTATGGATTACGGCGGAGCGGACGTCACGCAGACGTTTCTCTGGCTCTTACAAAAATCTGCATTTCCATACAAATCATGCGATCCTACCAATAAGTTGGACGCACTGCTCTTGGAGCAGCTGAAGATAGATTTTTGTCATGTTGACTTAAACGTGTGCGGCTCACAAGAGAAAACATTTGTTGTCAGAAAACCAAAACAACAAACAGAAACGTATACGATACAGGTACATTATGTCTTTTTAAAATTATCTTTTAAAAAATAAAGAATTATTTTGTATAATATTAAACTTACAATTAGTACGCTGGAACTTATGTTGGCAGGTTGGCGATGAATGTTTAATAGCACCCTTGAGCTTATTTCAACCTGAACTATTCAGAATTACCGGAACGCATAACGTTCACGTTCAAAAACGATCGTTAGGAGATCCAGAAGATCCGTACGATGAGAACTACTTAAGAGAAACGAGTGTAAGTGATCGTTATTTCTAATCTTTCTAAATTTAATCGATGTTTCCGTTTTGCGGAACACAAATGTGATAGTTACTTTCTATTTCAGAGACGGGGGATGAAAGAAACTCTGGATCATTCGTCAGAAATGCAAGAGGAGACAGCGGCCGCACCTGCAACTGGGGGCGATGACGAGGTTGTAGTTGACGCCGTCGATCCTGCGCCTAGTTTGTTAAATCGCGATTTAGACGCTCCCCGTGATTTCGTGATCCCGCAGCAACTCTTAGGCCTCGATCAAGCGATATTGCAGAGCATTGAGCGATGTTGTGAGCACAAACATTATTTAAACAAGTTCAAACAAGTAGACTGTAACTGTAGATAAAAGCGTATACAACTAGTCTTATTTTTCTTTACAATAGCTAACGAAGATCTCAAAAGAAAAATGTACAGCTGCGTGCTAGTCGTGGGATCGGGTTTGAAATTTAAAGGTATCGGCATGTGGCTTCGCAATCGAATATCTCTTCAAACTCCTTACATGTATAGACCTGGTAAGTATTTTCTTCAAGATTTTCAAGTGAATTATTTTACTTGTAGAGAGCAAAAAATTATATTTCTTTACATACCGCTTGATTTTTCTTGCAGAGCAACTAGACATTATAACGCAGCCGAAAGATATGGATCCTGGTATGACGACGTGGAAAGGAGCAGGGATTTTAAGCTGCTTGGAATCGGCTCAGGAATTGTGGATCACTCGAACCGAGTGGCATCGCTGGGGCGTTAGAATATTGAGAGAAAGATCTCCTTTCTTATGGTAGAAAATATTTTTATAATTTATTAACAACTACTATCGAATGAGCGTTTTTTCTATTTCTGACTTATTATCTGACTTATGTTTGGCATTTTTTTATATATATTATACTGCATCACAAATGTAGCTCGAGATTGTAAAATATTAGATAATTATCGGATGTTATAATAACTCAGTCATTCTAATTTTAGTTTTATCGTTACGGTGATATTGTATTATATCAGCTTCCAGTAGAAAATTTACGTACTTCAAAGTATTCGGCATGACATCTACATAAATGTCATCTCCCCCTTTCATATAAGCGGTTGTTAGCGCCTGCAATCACAATTTTTCTTGTACATTCGCAACAATTAACAATTAATTGACTTTGTAAAATATATATATTGTGATTTATAAAGACGATCATACCGCTAATAATTCCTTGAAGCCAATGTTGTCTGGAAAAATCGTATCTACCACGATAGACTGCAAAAAAGAAGTTACCAACTATCAGTGTCTTGTTTCATGTCTTCATAAAAATCACATTTTGTATTTAAGACATTGTGCGTGATAACTTGACAAGTCACAACTTTACATACCAGGTCATTCTTCACTTCCTGAAATATACGTTTCGTTAGGCCGTACTCCTTCTCGTACGTTTTGTTCGTGAAAGTCTCCGTGATATCCAGATAAGCTTCCTGCATTTTATCCAATCCATTTTTCTTGTTTCTCAAACTGCAACGACAAGCAGAACACAATGACAAGTGAACCAATAAGGATAACGAACTCTTGCGTCACTGTACTTACTATGCGATGTCTTCCCGAATGTCGAAGAGCTTCTTCTGCAGACTGTTGAGAAGCTCTTGCATGTCGTGAATCTCCGCCTCCATCTCGATCATCACTTCCACATGCAAGTCAGATGTTCGCAGAATCGGGTAATCCTCCGGCTGCATCTGTTGGATTTCTTCTCGCAAGCTCTGGTGCAACCTGTTTTGCCTCATTTTCACGTCCTCCGGCAAGCTGGACGGTCCCAGGGAAAAGACCTCGTTGTTCGATATCTCGTTTATCAAGTTTTCAATATTCTTCTCCTGCTTCGCTTTCTTGTCCTTCAGCGTCTCGAAGGCATCCTCTAACGTATATTCCATATTCTTGTTTCAAATTTGTTTATTCTTGTTTTGTTATATGAAAATTTATACCGGTCATTTGATACTGCAAATAAAATTCGATATGTTATTCAGGAAACATTTAGATTCAATCAAAATTTCAATGGCTGTAGCTACAATATATATATATATATATATATATATATAACCGATAAATGAAAGAATAATCACTGGCTGCGTTCAGCAAAAAAAGCGGCTTTGAAACTGTTGTAAAATTCATTAATATGATTGGTTTATACATTTAGATCCATGAAGAACTAAAGGCAAGAACTAATCATGTTGAAGAATCTCACAACAGTTGTAAAGCTGTTTTCTCTGCTGAACGCAGCCATTGTTAATCGATGGTAATCGGGTATTTTTATTTAACAATTTTTTAACAAATACTAGTATACTACAGAGAATCAACAACACTTGAAGGTTATGTTGCGTTATACCTGTAATATCCCGCTACACCGAAAGTTATTCATATATTATAATTCAAAAATAAATTAAAAATGAAATTGGAATGAAAGAAGAGCGTATATCACACTATGTAGTATGTAAATAAATAATAAACAAACATCACTTTACTTGTTTAGCTACTGCAGATTCTCCGAAGGAATCGTTTGTTCTTAGCCAAAGAGGTTATAATTCAAAAATAAATTAAAAATGAAATTGGAATGAAAGAAAAGCGTATATCACACTATGTAGTATGTAAATAAATAGTAAACAAACATCACTTTACTTGTTTAGCTACTGCAGATTCTCCGAAGGAATCGTTTGTTCTTAGCCAAAGAGGTTATAATTCAAAAATAAATTAAAAATGAAATTGGAATGAAAGAAAAGCGTATATCACACTATGTAGTATGTAAATAAATAGTAAACAAACATCACTTTACTTGTTTAGCTACTGCAGATTCTCCGAAGGAATCGTTTGTTCTTAGCCAAAGAGGTTATAACCTCTTTGCTCTTAGCATCTGAACTGTTATGTGCTGTTCATCTCGTTTCTTTTTCTCTCCAATGTCGACTTTATACACCTGTTTCTCTTTAGATGCAAACAGTGTAGCACAGTGCAACTACGAAGTACAGAACTTACTCGAGGCACGGTTAGGTTAGCTCCGCCGCCCGCCGGACCGCCCGACCGCCCCGCCGCAACGACCGCAAGTGGAGTAGTGGCGGCTGGAGGCGCCGTTTATTGTGCTGCTTGTTAAAAATCATCATGCTTTCTCGTCACATGTGTAAACTTATGCGTTACTCGTGTTCACGTGCAATTACGAATTGCCGTGGCTTCGTCTCGGCGAACGTTGAAACAGGTACCTTTATTATTTGTACGTAAGCCGGGTAATTTTTAGGTTATCTTTTTTGCCACAGCAAAATTTATGGAAATTGATATTGCTGTAGTAGAATTAAACACCTCGTGCGGTATAATTATAGCTTCTTTGCTTTATTCTTGCATGCTAAATTTTGTTTTTGTACCGCGATCGAATGACTTATAACTTTCATGTTTCCTGCCTTGCTTGCCAATTAATATTAATATTACTCTGTTATATTAACGTAGAGTGTATTAAGTCACACTTTCGAATTATTATTATTAGATTTCGTAGAAATTATTAGGGACCAACATCCAGTCTCGATCGTTGAAGGCCTTTCTCTAATTTAATTGTATTACTCACGCGATCTAGTTCAACGTATTATTATAATTAAAATGGATTTATTGATTTTGACGACATGTGCAACTTTGACAGATCCAGTGGAAAGAGATCCAGCGCCGTTCTTTTTTAACGATGAGGTTCAGGCATGTCTCAGAACGTTGACGACAGTGGACTATCAGAAGGTTTTTCGGACTCGCAAAGACGGGCACAAACTCGAACCGCCGCAGTATAAATTCATGACGGACGAGCAGCTCAAGGAGGCCAAGGAGGAGGCGGAACGTCGAGCGGAGGAGTATTTGCAAATGCCGCCAGTGGTGAAACCGAGATTGGATTCGTCCCTGATATTATGCGAGGACATTGCGTTACGGGGTTACGATACCGCCAGATATGTTTTCACCGACATCACGTACGGTCTTAAGGATCGACAAAGATTCATAGTGGTTAGAGAATCAGATGGCACATTGAGACACGCCGATTGGAAAGAGCGAGACAGAATGACACAGGTTTTCTTTCCAAAGCCAGAGAGGCAACTGTACAAACCGAAGATGTTTGAGAGCGAATATTTAAGGGTACGTACGTTGCTTCTACTATGCATCTAGTTCGCTGCGATACTTACGCGATTAAAGCCTGTAGCTACGATGCTAGAAAATCATTCCGAGATCTCGGACGGAGAAAGAATTGACCAATCGCATCGGTCAGTTGGTCGAATTGCTCAAATTGTAATTTGCCAATTCTTTTTTCATCCGAAGTCTTAAAGTGATTTCTAGCATTTCGTGGATACGGGACTTAAAGAGTAGGAAAGGCAAAAAGGAGAGAAGGAAGAATGTTCTCGCATCAAGTGAACGCTGATATATTGCGGTTTTTTTTTTCGCAGGATTTGTTGAATCGCAACGAATACGAGTTCATCCTGGATCGCGCGTGCGTGCAATTCGAGCCGGACGATCCGGATTACCAAGCGGTCACTCGGGAAGTCTACGAGCATATAAACGCCGAGAAACATTTCGACAGCTTGAGGTCTACGCGTCACTTCGGACCGATGGTGTTTCACCTGGTGTGGACGAACAACATCGAGACCCTGTTGTGCGAGTTGATCGAGACTGGTCGGATCAAGGACGCCGCGATCCTGGTACGTCTGTACCATATGATTCATCCTACAGCCAAGTCAGCGGTTGAGCAATGCGAGCGCAACACGGACGATGTGGAGCTCGTTATGCATTACACGCGCCTCGAATTGTCAAAACAGAATAAGATCCAGAAGATGCTGCAGTCGTACAAAGAATTGCAACAGGAACGTGAAATCGTGGCGGAGGGTGTTAAAAAGGCGCATGGCATTTCTTCGGAAACAGATAAAGTATAAATATAAATCAATAAATTTAGTATTCTTTCTCGTTACAATATAATTAATAATTGTTCCTCTACTTTTAAATCCATCATCGCAAACGTAGTAATGATTGATGTGGTAATAGGGAGCTCGATTATAGGCCAGATATTCTAATGACAGCTTCTAAAGAAAGACCGCTTAGTGAAAATTTTTAAAAGAAATTTAGCTATTCAGAATTTCTTACTTAAAAGAATGTCATCTAGAAATTAGAAACGTAAATTAAATTAATAGCAAAGAAAAAATTGCGAAAAGACTTAATGGGAGAGTACAGGCGATCCGGAAGACCATTTGTCCGCATCCCGTCCAATAATCTCTCGAGATGAGCGGTCCGCCGCGCTTCTTTTATAGGAGACACCCCATAGAATAAGAGTGAGACTGTGCTACGGTATGTCATGATTTGCTTTATTCGTTGTTCGTAAAGGTTTGAATTAATCGATTGGATAACAGACACACGATGGTCGTCAGGGCAATTCGATGATTATTACTCGATTATTTTATTACGTACGGTAGTACTTACAAACATTTACAAATGTAACAAGTCAATTCGATTTGGCGTACAGGATTCGTTCAGAAAACATTACACTAATGACCTTTCGCTAATTCGCGTTACGAATGGGAGGGAAAACGGAGAGGGGCAGGAGGGGGAGAGGGGAAGGGAGAAAACGTAAAATCGATCCGAATTGATCGGGGTCCGCGCGCTTGGTCCGTCGCGCGGATATGAGACAGCGCGCGTCTGTCCCGCGAAACGCTTTGTCGTCGCTTCGATTGGGAAGGAGAGGGAGGTGAGAGGGTGAGAACGAGGATTGATACCTAGCGATTAAACGTATCCGGTAACGAATGTAACGGCTCTATAACCGATACCCGGATGAGTATCGACGCGAACGAAAGTGCACCGTTCTTTATACAAATGCAACGTTACGGTTGTGGCGACACGCTGTAAGTACCTACAATCGTGAAACGATATCGTATGCAAACCGACCGTTTGCGTGGAAAGAAAAAGAGAATCCAATAGAAAAAAAAGAACGAGATTTTCGTTTTTTTTTAATTTCCCTTTTTTCCCTTTTCTATCTCCGTCCCCGCTGGGGGACCATGTCTCGCACGTCGTTATCGTTATAATACTTGATAAGCACTCGCAGCAAATCGTAATGTTCGTTTATCAATCATTATCATTCGCCTTATCCTTAGTATACTCTTACTGTGTAAATAATTATTATTTTCCCTATAAAGACGTGCTCCGGACTGCGTGTACGTATGTGTGTATATGTGTGTGTGGACAAATAAATAAGATATGCCTTTTTTCGCTGCGCGTTTCAACCCCCGGACGCGATCAACTGCGTCACTTCATTGCTGCGTCAAGAGAGCAGCGCGTTCACCTTTTTCTCAGCCGCGAGATAAATATCTCAATCGATCGCGACAATAGACGTTCACATCGCTTATCAATTACGCTAATATTGCTACCAAGAAATCATAAGATTAACGAGCTTCCGATCGCGAGATATGCCGATACTCATAATTCCTGCTCTCTTTCTTGCGCGAATATTAGCAAAAGGCGCGAACACGTGTTTAACTATAACTCGACGCGATTGTCCATCCGCGATCTTGCGTAAGAGACAACGTCGTAGCGCGCGCATAATAATAATCTCCTATAATGATTCCTAATAACAATTTTCAATAATTTTCTCTAATTACTTAACTACCAACTAGCTAACTTATAGTGAAAGGAATAATTGATCTAGGAATTAAAAAATAGTCAAATATAGAACATCGTTTATCGTCGTCGTAATTTTGCCACTTGGCCATTTAATTAGAATTTTACTCTGCAACTTTTCGATCGATAATTGGAGACGCGCCGTTCGCCTTGAAGAAGATACGATTCGTTGAACGCTAAAAAATCCAATAAAAAATGTGCGATCTTCTGGCGATCTCGTCCAGAGAGAATCGTCCATCCATCCAAGGTGAAATCTGTGCAAATGTTTACATCCGAGGGTTGATACGAAAGCCTCGTCGAACCGGTTCGCGGATGCGAATCAGGCTAACGTAAAGGGTGGAAGCGTACAAAATAAATAAATACGTATATATACGCGAACATGTGTCAGCTGTTAGGCCCTTCACGAAGCAAAGTACATGGCTGCGTCGAGCGCCGATGGTCCGGATAACGCGAACAGACTCTTTGAGAGTCGTTCTTGAGGAGAGAGCGATTTTGAACACGTCGCCCCGACATCCTCCGGAGGGATGTTTAGACGCTTGCGTTGTCCGGAAGGCGCGACGACGGAGCTCGTGCGATATAAGTTGCGACAAAATATCTCAAAACTGGCGATTGCACTCGAGAAACGATCAAGGTGACGCACGAGGCCTTGTTGCCGACGAATTGTTTCATTGAATTCGCACTGATATATCAGTTTCCCAGACTTCCAGTTGCATTTGCACACGAACTTCTTTAACCGATTTTTTTTTCTTCGATCTGATCGCGTTAAAAATCTTCAGCTACGAATATTAGCGTGACAATTATGATATTATGACAGCAGTTTGCCATCGATCGCAACCTTGATCGCAAAACGCTCGATCCTACGGCAATCGCGACAATGGATGAAGCGATGATTCGATGATCGTCATCCTGTGACAGTGGAGGGGGGGGGGCGCATAAGTGATAATTAGCTAATGATCGCGAGCGTCCAAATAATCCGACGCGGGATGCACGTTGCGCGGCGGAGATGTATATGTAGCGGAGCTGTGTTGCGTTCGGGTTGGCAAATATTGAGCAATATCCTTCCTAACGCACACCTTTGGCCGCCGGAAAAATTTCGTCGGCAGATCTTTCGCGCGTCTTGCCGTGTCTCTCGATCGTTATCGGCCACGTTGTTCCGGACCAGAATCAGTTACATTGATAGCACTAATTTCGAATCAATTGATTTTCTCTTTTTTAGTCCACGAATCGTTATCATAAACAAAAATTCAGAAAAAAGTGGACTTTAAATAGAAATATTTTTTAACAAGGTTTGAAAGTTAAATGTAAAGTCCTATCTAAAGTGTTTAAAAAAATTGCAGATTGATTCTTTTTATTCCCCCCCCCCCTAATATTTATTCCTATAAGGATTTTTTATTGAATTCTAATTTTTAACTAACGATCCTGCGTATCGAAATGGAATTAAAATTGTAATCTGAAGAGAAATTCAATCAATTCGAACTGTCGATGCAATTCGGTTGACGCAATGGAGATCACGCAGATATATACCCTGGATATAGGAACATTCTACGTCGCATGATTGTTTTTACGACCTCGGTTGATTCAATGGACGACTATCCTATCGCTAATACATCAGAGCGGTGTTACATATAGGTCTAAGGGGTAGCTCTTCAGGTTCGCATTCTATTGCCGCTTTCCGGTCTCTACTAGCTGCTCTTGTCGACCATCTCGTAATGTGCCAGCTTCTCACCTCCGCTGTATCGTGTCCTTTTGTATTCTTTCGTAGCCCCCTGTATAGATCGCGTATTTCTCGCCACAGTGCCCGTAAAATCTTTATTTTTTAGTAACGAGAATTACGTCTCTATCGCTACGCATCCTTGTATATAATAAATTTTCGTGTAAATGCGGCTGGATGTGTGTATATTTTATACACGTACAGTAGACAATTTGCTCTAAGTTTTTCTGATAAAAGTCTCACGTCTGTGCACGTTAGGACCGTCGTCGTCGTGTACAAAACGCATTTTTTCTCTACATATTCGTGCCACTTCGCCGTCGTTCGAAAAAAAAAAAAAGATCGTTTCCGCAGCTCTGTTCTGCGGCGTTTATACGTGTATGATTGCAGTATATTTCATATGTTGTGTGTATGAAATATACAATTTTATATATTATATACTTAGCTCTCTACCTACCTATATCTCCACTTACGTGTATATATTTATATAAATCTCCCGCCCGCCCGCGCGTACATGTGTAGCGTGTGTATATGTATATATTTATATATATAATACGTATGTATATATGTATAATATTTATATACGATGATCACCTACGTAGAATCCCTTACGCTCGCTCTACTACGATGAAGAAAGAACGAATAGCCGGAATAATTACGGGTGTATAATTATCTTAGAAAAAAGTTCGCGAGAGTTCCTCTCGCGCATTTCCTCTTTTGCTCTCGTATTTGGCACACAGACGTTGCGAGGAGTACGGACGCGCGGACGTGTACGAGCTCAGGTCGACTTTTGACAATTCGGCGCGTTTCCCGATCGCCGAGATCGAAGCTGAGGGGAGGGTAAATATCGAGAGACGGAGGGCAAGACGCGAGAACCGGGATATATCCCGCCTGCCTGCCTTGAATATGCTACGTGATGCGAGATTCGCGTCGCGTTTCCTATTTCCTCCTGTCTTTTTTTCTCAGTTCGGACGTTGACGCTTCGTCATGCGAAAGGTTTCCTCGCGCCACGCGTTTTTTTTTTTTCAATCATTAATACTATATTAACCATAGCGATTAGTGTGGTATTATTACGCGCTCGAATCCCTACGCTGTACTCTACTTTCCAAGAGACGCCCCAAACGTACGGCGGTGCCCTCGTCGTTCAGGATACCGGAAGCAGCCTTCCTCCACCATCCGTTCTTCCCAGTTCGCGTTTCTTCCTGTTCGTCAGCCAATTTATCTTCTTAATTCTAGCAATTCCTTGTTGTCGAACTCAAACCCGAATCGTTCTTCGATCGTCTGCGAGGATTTCGCGTTTCGTTCCCTTCTTCTTACTCGTCTCATTTGACGGACAGCCTGCTCTGTCGTTCGAGGACCAAGGACCATGCGGTAGCAGCTTCGCGATCCCACCAGTCACCGTGTTAACTCGCCAGAGCGATCTCAGTGGCGACCTTGACGGTCGAGCAGCCGATCAGCGAGCGGCTTCTCGGTCACAGAATGTCCGTTTCATAGACTTTGCTGGTAGTTGTGGTGGACGTGGTGGTGACGGTGATGGCTGCGCCGGTGGTCGTCGTACCCGACATCACCATCGCCGACGTGGCACCGGAGACTTGTCCGTTGGTCGTCTGCGCGATGATCGTTGGAATCGCTTGCCCGTTAATGATTTCGGCCTTGGCTACTTGATTACCGTCGATCGCAACGGCCTCCTGCGAGATCTGGGGCTTGATGCTGAGGCTGGTGAGGGATCCGGAACTTGCCGCGCTCAAACCGAGGCCCATCTTCGCCAGGAGATTGCTCTCGGAGCCGGTTTTCTTCAGAAGATCGGGCGGCGCCGGCGGCACGGTGGTGAGGCCGGCCGCGTTCCTCTGTAGCTGTTGCAGCCTAGCATATTGCTCCTGCAGAGCTTTCTGCTTCCTGAGTAGTTCCTGGTGCCGTTGCTCCAGCTGCTCCTGCCGACCGCGCTTGCTCTGCAATCCCTCCTGCGAGTTGACGCTTTCGCAGGAGCTGGAGTTGCTGGTCGATAGCACCGCGGTTTGCGAGGACGACGAGTTTTGCGGCGCGGCGACGCCCGGCGCGGTCTGCGGAGCGACCTGGTCTACGGTGGACAGGATGGCGTTCGGCGGTAGGGCCATCGGCGGCTTACCCTCCTTGCCGACGAGACTGTTGTTGCGCGAGGGTCGGCGCAAGGTCGCGTTGCCACTTTGCAGATTGCATGGATGATTTCTGGGCGGTAGCTGCGGGCTGGTGGGGCTCGCCAGAGGTGATCGGGAGCTGGTGCGCGGCGGCGGTGGTGGCGGTACCCTCCTGGCGCTTGCCATCTGTAGCAACTCGGCGTTTCGTTCCGGTACCGGCGGCTTCTGCCCAGGTAGGAAGCTCTGCGGCAGCACCGGCATGCCCGGCTGCGACTGCTGTTGCTGCTGTTGTTGCTGTACCTGCTGGTCCTGCAGCGACAGCGCCTGCAACCTGGCGATGGGCGGCGAGGTGTCGGTGTCCGAGCTCGAGGGATACGAGTGCAGGCGACGTAGAGTGCCGCCCGGCGCCATCCCGGGTAAGCCCATCAGGCTGACGGTGGGTGCAGTTAGGGTACCGCTGGAGGAATCCACACTGCCCTTCCGACCGATATCGCTGATGTTGGGAGCGCGTCCGCCGCCGCCACCGGTTGTCGCGACGCTTGTAGATTCTCGGAGGCTGGAGGCGCGGCCGATGTCGGCCAGGAGCACGTTCGGGCCCGGATGAACCGACAGGCTGCTCGACACGTGGCCCATCTGCGAGCTTGGTCGGGAGAAGGTCTGCAGCTCGTCTAGCAGAGCGTCGAGTGCGTTCTCCGGACGCTGCTGATGGTCGGCGGATGGCTCGTGAGGGTGGCTCCCTCCCCCGAGGACGCTCGCTGACCCCACGACAGTGCGTTCCGCTGGCACAGGGGCAGCTGCCTGTTCGTTCAGACACGTGGAATCAACAGTCGGGCCAAGAACGTCGCGCCGGCCGGCCGGCCGGCCCGGGAGGGCCTGGCTCTGCCTCGCGGCGTCGCGCCAGCGTCCCACCCTGGGGAGACGCGAACCGTCGAGCGTCCCTTCCGCGTGCTGGCGCGACGCACCTTGGCATCGTGAGGTGATCGTGCTTTTTTTTGCGCGCTCTCGTTGAGAAGAAGCATCCCGCGCGATCGTCCAGAGTGACGTCTCTCGTTCCGCTATCTCGCCACCGCGCGAGTTTTTCGACATTTATAAAGTACACAACGACACATATATAGATACTTACGCGTTTGTAGACACGACGTACATAACAGCGACACATTCAGAGATATATAAGGGTAGAGAGAACGATAATTAATATGTAAGAGTTTCGAAAATCGCACAACGACTATGTACACCTGATACACCTGATATGTACAGAGACACATTCTTTAAATTTGATTCTTGGTGCTTGGTGCAGAATCGGAAGTCCAGTACCGGATGTTGAACGTGTCGTGGTACACTTTGTCATTTGCGGTATGCCCGTCGCTGCGGATGCTTTTTCTGACAACGAGAGCGGTGATCGTAGAAAGTGGCGTCGCGAAGATCCGAATAATGAGATTGAAGAAAGGATGAATTGCGAAAAAGAGATAACTGAATGATATGATATTGGAAACGCAGATGACGCAAAGTCCGATATTGCCTCACAATATTGATTGTTCGCTATATTTAATATTATTTAATTTTCCAGCAAAGTTTTTACTAGAGTCCTTGCAAAAATTCAATTTAATCCCTGGAAATCACTAATTTTAAGTATTAAAAGCGTTGTTGTCCAATGTCGTTTAGTACTCAAAATATAAGTAATTAATTACTATCTTCCAGTATTAAATTTCTGTAAAAAAAGCCAACATTTTTTATGCTTTTGACGAAATATACGTTATGTTAATTTTATCTTTATATGTTTTATTTATAAATTTCACACTTTAGGTACTCGGTTTGACTCACATCCGGACTCTACGTTTCGCGTCGTTAAACCGCGTGAACATTTAGCGACGAAGACACACGTCTTCGACACACCACGATCGTACGATCGGAGGATCGCGAGTCGAATTTCGTCTTTTTCTTTCTATAGCATGCGTATATGTGCGAATAATGTGCATGCGTAATAACGATGTGACAGAAGAGAGAGCATGATTGCGAGACGATGAATGATAAGTGACAATAATGAGCGTAAATCATGGCAATGCAGAATATGGTGAACGATGAAAGTAAAGTGAAAGAGAAGAGGCGCGCGCGAGAGAAAGAGAAAGAGAAAGATGGATGATGAAGAGATATAGAGAGCAAGAGAAAGAGAGAGAGGAGAGAGAGAGAGAGAGAGAGAGAGAGAGAAAGACAGGTAGAAAGAGAGAAAGAGCGCAATGATGAGTCGTGAATCGCAATAAGTCGTGAACGAAAAAGAAGGCACACAATCGTACGATATAATACGTAAATATGATTAATTCCGTTAGATAATTACCTGCGGGTCGGTTATACGTTTTGTGCGTGCGTTGTGCGTGTTACAAGTCAGTACTCGTTTGGGGCTCTTTTACATTTGGCATCGATTGCTGTCCGGTATTAGTCAACTTAAAAAAAAAAACAGAGAAACCAAAAATCAAAAATCCGAGGTCAGAGGTCGAAATCGTGGACCGCGAACAGGAGAGAACAGAAAAGATAGAGAAAAAGAGAAATAATGCGATAGCGTTTCTCGTTTAACGCGGATGCGCGGAAAGTCGGGGATGAATCTCGCGAAGACCCGCGAAACACGTCGAACGACTGCAAAGGGAGACCGGAAAAGATACTTCCTGAAGGTCCTCGCGACGTTTCTCGAAGGTCTCAAACATTCAGCAATGTGCGATACGACAGCGCAAGATTCTTTCTCCGAAAGAAGTGATGGTTGATATCCCTTTGTGCAATAATTTTGATAAAGTTATCAGAATTAATTTTATTAATTCTGATAACTTTATTCTGATTTTTATTCTGATAAATAAATTGTCAATATTAATATTCATAATTGATAAAATTAAATAATTAATATGCTTAATTTTTTTACATTACGAAATATAATCGCTATTGTTACATCGTGAATAACTCTTGATATGACGTGGTTGTGACATTGCAATCTCGCGCTGTCAGATTTATCCCACGCTAGCGCGATCATCCCCGACCGATATCTTATCGAATCCTGTACGATATTCCGCCCGTCGTCCGTGCAATCGACATCCGATCTCGCGCAGGAAAGAGCCGAAAACGCGGCACAGCGCATCGCTTGGGCATCGACTCTTGTCGCTTCGAGATTGACCCCGAATGGATCTTGCATCGATCGGATCAAGAGGAATAGTTACGAGCAAATAAAAAATATCACGCAGTAATTAATATGAGTCTCGAACGCGCAATTTATCGCGATATCACCCGCGGTGAATCTCCGCTAAACTATTCTCGTACTAGGCAAAAAGAAAAGACGCGTGAAATTTAAATGCAGAAAGAAAAGTCGTCGTCACATCTTTATGATACTCGGGCAGATGGATAGTAGCGTAAACGAAGATAAGTGCACGTACAGGGCATTCGGTAACTGGCGCACTGTTGGCGCACGTGGCGATGTTGCTCGTTAAAAACTATGATTAATTAAGTTTCTTCCGTTAAATTTTATCTTCGCAATTTTCGAAGTTTCGACATATTATTCAAGCAAAATTCCATTTAACATTTATCCGGAAAAACAATACTTGTCGTCTACTTGCATTCCTGAAGAGGAGCAATATAGTATCAGACATCTCTACTTTAATCTAATTGCAAAAATCATCGATATTTTTTATTAACGTAGAGTCATTTTTGGTTCTCGACAAGAAAATATCGCCACGTGCATCACGCGAGCGTTCACCCCGTGTCACATGATCACCGTTCACCCAAGTTCTCCTGTTCAGAAATAAAATGAAACATATTGTATGAAAATTATTGTGCCCATGCCGATGGTCGAGGTGCACAGAGATGTAGTTTACATTGAAAGAGAAGCAGAGTCGTTTTTTTCTTACCGAGTATTCGCCAGTTATACGAATTAGCACGAGTACGCTCGTATTGTCGATGCCCGCACAAATGACGCCGACCTTCCGGGTTTCGAAGCAACGGAGGACTCTTATACGCAGAATATAGGTAATAGCATGCACCTCGAAGGCGCGGATAAAAATAATTAAAAAAAAAAACGAAAAGAGAAAAAGAGATAGATAGAGAACGATAGAAAACGACGGGGATGCCTTGTCCCATGCGAAACTGCATGCGCGTCTACGCAAGATTACACACACACACACACACACACGTAACGTATTTTATGTGTGGACAAGCATACATACGCGCACGCACATACTCTCACACACATACGCGCGCACACAAGTACACGTATATACACATGCCGCATGCCGCACACGTACATACGAAACGTGCCTAGTAATTAATATTTCGACTAGTTGTAAACAAAACCCGAGAAACAATAGGGTGGTTATATTTATACATAAATATCGAAAAGAAAAAAGAGATATCGGCCAATCAAAAGAATACACAGAGAGAAAAACCTTCAGTCCAATCCTTATAGTAAGGCAATATAGTATATAGTACGGACTCAGACTCATATAAATAGACAGAGATATATAGAGAAAGAGACAGAGAAATGAGATGGACAGATATAGACAGAGAAAGGGGAGGAAGAGAAAAGAGAAAAGGAGAGTAAATATATAATATATAATATATGTATATCGATTCCTCAAAGTGTGTCTCCGATGGATGGGTATACATACATATACACAATAGAAAGATAGAGAGAGAACAAGAGATAGAAAAAGAGAGAAAGAGAGAAATGTGATGGAAAGAAGAATGATGAATCTTGCACGAGGGTGGAACACGCATATCGAACGTGATGTGAAGCGCGATAGTAACGTTCGATCGGTATCGATGAAATCGAAAGAGGGTGATTACGTGATGGCGAATCGTTGACAGGAGCAAGTACGACACAGCGTAGAGAAACCAGACATACAAGAAGCCCAAATATTATACAAATTATAAGTGCGGGAGTTAATTAGATCTCTAGAGATGCTACACGCCAGCGTGTAGATCGGGATGACCGTAAACCCGCGCATCTAGCCCGTAGGCGTAGTGAAATTTTTTAAAATTAATTTGATACTACAACTCTTCATGAAAATTCGAATTTAAATAAAATTAAAGTTTTGTTTAAATAAAACCCAAATTATTTATTTTATTACTTATTGTTAAATAGTTATATTTTAATTAATTATTTATTTTAATTAAGATACTCTAATAAATAGTTATTATTTATTAGAAAGTTAAATTTGCGAAAAGCCTTTAATATTCTATTTTTTTAAATTTCAAAACATGAAAATCAACTCCGATTTGATCAAGAAATTTCACTACGCGATATCATATGCGCGAATTTATGGTCACTCCGTTTAAACGGGTGCACGATTGCAACTGGCAGTAGTTTTCGCGACGTGTTGTACAATACCGACACCTCAGCACTAAAACAATCAACATTACTCTGCGACTTGAAGCTAATAGGATTGAAATATTTTTCTCAACATATAATATACATGTTCGCCCCCTTTCGCTTCCGAATCATAGAATGATGTTAAGTTGCTTCGGTTCCGAGATGCTAGTGTGCTATACGGCCTCGTCATTGCGCGATTAATTTATTGCGATTGCATTTATGGAGAATGATCGAGATTCATCAAATCTATCTTCTTTTGACTGAAAACGTTAACCAGATTTATGAAAGGTATCTTAGTCTTTTACTCTAACAGAAATTTAATACTGGAAGATTAATTACTTATTTTGATTATTAAAAGCATTGACAAAACATTGTGTGCTTTTAAGACTCAAAATAAGTAATTAATCACTACCTTTCAGTATTAAATTTTAAGAGTAGATATCCTATGTCTTCCGTT